TGTGTTCCACAGTGAGCTCAAGGCCAGGCTAACTACATCAGAGAGAGAGAGACAGAGAGAGAAACAAGTTCAAACTAAATTGCTGTTGTGACAATACTAAGAGGAGTTTAGAGTTTAGATTATGCCACCCCCCACACACACATATGGATTAGATTAGTGTCCTTTGCCAGTAATGGGTTCCTTGTCTGTGAGTGTGGTCACACTGCTCTTTAGCAGTGTGTTGCTGTCCATACTGAGGCAGCAGGAAGAGCCTCTCTGTCTGGCACCTTGATGAACTTCCCCAAATCTAGAATGAGCCCATCTTTTTCCATTCTTTATAACCCATGCAGCCTCTGGAACTCCGCTGTGGCCATTCAGAACAGAAAGAGAGCCACCGGGTGAGTGGACAGTGGGATCAGCATCGTCTTCAAACGCTGAGGCGTTCTTCCAGTCCTCAGTCCTCCTGACTCCTGTTACTTCTTGAAAGACCTTCTTTTTTTCTTTTCTTTTTTTGGCTTGTTTCTGCTTTAACAGATAAAGGTTTGCTTTCCTTAAAGTACCTGATCTGTGTGACCACCAAGGCCACTATGCACAGAGGCCAGACACAAACTTCATGTCTTGTTTTCTTCCTCCAGACAGAAGTCTAAGGGGGCCTTTTTAGACTTCCTCCTCTTTTCCCTCCTGGACAACTCCTAAGCTGGGAGTTTCCCCATGGGCCTTGTAGAATGTTTAGAATGTTAGGTAAGGAACCCTGTCCCCTCCATGTGACATTCCATCTTATTAGATTCATAGAATCTGCAGCCTCCACAGGCCTCACCCAGGTCACTGTTAGGGGCGACAGCGTTCAAGGCCTGGTTGTCCCCTTTTCTCACCTAGGTCCCAGGTTTCCCCTTCCTGGAGCACAGCTGTTTTATGCACCGTCACGTGCTTTCGGATCAGTAGGTCTCAGCGGAGAAGAGTTTCAGACCCACTGGCAGCGTTGCTATTGTTCATTTATTTGATCTTACTGGAGATGAGGCCCTCCGAAAGTTTACAAGCCAGGCCTCCACCATCCACACTGCTCTCAGCATGCTATCTTCTAAACTCCCACAGCAGCTCATTAAGCTCTTAACACTAAACGGCTTTTCCAGCTCGGAGTCCCAAATTCCTTCCACAGTCGTCCCCGGAGCAATAGGGTCAGGTCTGTCACAGCAGTGTCCCCTTTCTGGAACCCTATTCTGTTCTAGCTTACTTTTTTGAGAGGAGGGAGCAAAAGGATCAAGAGTTTGAGGTAAGCTTGATTTACTTGAGACACTGTGTCAAAGAACAGCTAGAAGAAAAAAACAAGGTTGCCCCGATGATTGTGCAAGCTGAGGCATCCAGATAGCACTGTACCCCTCTCTGTTTCAGTACGGTAAAGAACGGCAACCAGCCTCCTTCCTTCTTCACAAGGGGCCAAGAATACGATGACCTTTCTAAAGACGCCATTCCTGCTGGGAGCAGTGCTGAACACCTGTAATCCCAGCACTTAGGGAGGCAAAGGTAGGTATATCTCTGTGAGTGTGGGGCCAGCCTGGACTACAAAGCAAGTCCAGGACAGCCAAGGCTACAAAGAGAAACCTTGTCTCAAACCCAACCCAACCCAACCCAACCAAAACAATACAGAAGCCATTCCTGGGAAGGTTCTTTCACTATAGCAGTGGTTTTAATCTTTCCAATGCTGCATCTTTTTAATATAGTTCCTCACGCTGTGGTGACCCCCAACCAAAACATTATTTTTGTTACTACATCATAAGTGTAATTTTGCTACTGCTTATGAATCACGATGTAAATATCTGTGTTTTCTGATGGTCTTAGGCGGGCAACCCCTGTGAGAGATCATTTAATCCCCAAAGAATCTGTAACCCAAAGGTTGAGAACTGCTCTACTACAGAGACTAGCATTATCCGTTCAAAAAAGATTCTCCTGTGGTTGGTTGTCTTCCTTCTCCTCCTTGAGGTCTTGCATAACCAATCTTGAATTTGCCGTGTACCCAAAATGAACCTTCCTGCCTCTTTTTTTTTTTTTTTTTAGACAGGGTTCCTCTTTGTTGCCTTGGCTGTCCTAAACTCTCTTTGCAGACCAGGCTGGCCTCGAACTCATTCACATAGATCCATCAGCTCTTGCCTCCTGAGTGTTGGGATTAAAGCATGTGCCGCTAAGCCTGGCCGGAACTCACTTTTTAGACCCAGGCTGGCTTCAAACTCAGAAATCTGCTACCTTGCCTCTGTGCTGGGATTAAGGAAGGTGGCCTGCCTCAATTTCTCAAGAGCTGAGATTAGAGGCATGTGCCACCATGCCCTGTCCCACTCAGGAGTAGGATTTCTATGTAATAATCAGCTGGGTTAAACTTGTTTCAGTCTTTCTTCTCCATTTAAAAAAAAATCCCTTAGTTTTTTGATGACTGAAAGATTACTTTTCAATGGGAAAATTCAAAATGTTTTTCTACATTAGTTAACCTAACCGGCTCAAACAACTTTTAGATCAGAACTGCTAGTCTTCCAGCCTCCATAATGGGAAGATGGAATAAATCACACTAGCGAAGAGGCTCTGTTTCTGTCCTACCGATGTGTTCACTGGAGTATGTAAATAAATTTGACTTTTATCACAAGAAAAAAAAATTAAGCCAGATGTGGTGGTGCACACCTGTAATCCCAGCACTCAGAGGGAGGCAGATTGCTGTGAGTTCAAGGCCAGCCTGGTCTAGAAAGCAATTTCAGGACAGCCAGGGTTACACAGAGAAACCCTGTGTTAAAACAACAAACAAGCAAAAAAGCATTTGACTTGAAGTACTAGTTGATCTTAATTACATATGAGTGCAGTGTTGGTGGTAGATGCACCAACATAGCCTTTACACATTTTTTAACATGTATTTTTTTCTGCCCAGACAGGACAGCAAAAGCCTGCAAGCCTAGCACTTTTTTCTTTGTGACATGGTCTCCCATGTAGCCCAGGGTGGTCTTAAACTTACAATCTGTGTTCTAGTTTGCTTTTTAGAGCTGCAACATTCTGATCAAAACCAACTTAGTGAGAAAAGGGTTTATTCGGCTTACATACCCTAATCACAGCCCATCGTGAAGGGAAGTCAGGACAAGAACTTAAGACTGGAAACTGGAGGCTGGCTGGAACTGAAACGGAGGGTTTTGAGGGTGGATATACTTGATTTGTTGGGGCCAGAGGTGCCAGGGATACTTGGTTTGCACACAACAACACAGTCCTGTGATAGGAGGGGAAAGTAGTCATTCATTATCCCAAAGAACAGTGATTATTGACCAGATTCCCTCAGCTTGCTCAGACTGCTTTCTTACATATCCCAGAACTACGGACTCAGAGGTGGCATGGCCCTCAGAAATCTGGGGCCTCTTATACCAATTATTAATCAAGAAAATGCCATACAGTCACATCCACAAGTCAGTCTAATGAATGCAGTTTCTCAGTGGTGGTTCCCTCTAACTCAGATGACCCTAGCTTGTGTCAAATTGATAAAAAACTGATGGGCACAATCCTTCTGCCTCTTCCTCCACAGCGCCAGAATTACAAGTGTGCACTATCATGCCTAGCTAAAAAAGTTTATCTCTAATAGTCTACTGAATCAATAATGACTAGCTCTGGTGGTTTGGATGGGAATGGCCTCACAGACTCATGTGTTTGAATGCTTGGCCCTTGGGGAGAGGCAGTATTAGGTGGTGTGGCCTTGTTGGAGTAGGTCTGGCCTTTTTGGAGGATGTGTGTCACTGTGGAGGTGGGCTTTGAAGTTACATATGCTCAAGTTAAGCCCAGTGTGGCACACAGATCCCTTCTGCTGCCTGCAGATTCATAATGTAGAATTCTCAGCTTCTCCAGCACCATGCCTGCCTGCAAGCTGCCATGCTTCCAGCCATGACGATGATGGACTAAACCTCTGAAACTAAGCCAGCCCTGATTAAATGTTTCCCTTCATAAGAGTTGCTATGATAATGGTGTCTCTTAACAGCAATGAAACTCAAACTAAGACACAAGCCTTTATTGATAGTCACAAGTTCTACATGTGGGCAGTAGGCAGTGTTCATTGTAGGCAGTAGGAGACCAGAGGACAACTCATGATTCTCCTTTCACTATGTAAGTCCTGGGTATCAAAATCGGGCCATCAGGTCTGGTGGAAAGGTGCCTTTAGCCCCTGAGTCATCTCCCTGGCCCAAACCATTACTTTTCATAATTTGCCTCTCAATATCTTCATCCTGTTACCTTACCAGGCACATTCACTAGTGTTAAGTAAAACTTCGTATCAAGTTAAATAAGAATTAAATGTACAATTAGGGCTGGCAAGATGGCTCACGGTCGTAAAGGCGACTGTTGCCAAGCCTGACAACTAGAATGCACTACCCAAGAGGCACAGTGAGGAAAAGCAGAACCAAGTCCTGCCAAGTTATTCTCTTACCTTTGCGCACTCAGGTCTGCGTGCACTCAAAATCAATAAAAATATATTTTAAAATGTACATCTAGCGGAGCGTGGTGGTTCGTGGCTTTAATCAGAGCATCTGTGAGGCAGAGGCAGGTAGATCTCTCTCTCTCTGTGAGACCACTTAGCAAGTTTCAGGCTAGCTAGCGCTACACAGACAAACCAAAAGCCATACCAAACAAAAACAAAACAACAGCAACAAACAAAAGAAAGAGTAAATGGGGCTTTGTGGGAGCATACACTATCATGCATTCTCAATCCTAATGTGGTTATTTCTTTTATTTTGGGGTCTCAGCTACTTTAGACTCCCCATCATTTAGGTAGGGAGACAGAGCATCCCCACTGAGTTCCTCCAAGCCATGCCTTTCCCCGGTTGCTACTTTTGTTGACTGAGTGGTTCTTGTCCGTCTAGTGCACAGCTGTAGGCCCCAAAGCCCTTGAGGGGTTTCACATGCTGGGGCGGAGAGAGGTGGCTCTTTCAGTGACGTCCTTTCCATGTGAACACGAGGACCTGAGTTCAGACCTGCAGCACCCATGTTAAAAAGCCGGAGTGTTGAGGACCTACAGTCTTCGTGCTGGGGAACGAGGATCCCTGCTGCTCGCTGGTTAGCCTTTGTGGTGGCATTGATGAGTTTCACGTTTAGGGAGAGACCCCATCTAAGAAAATAACCCGACACCAGGCATTGTGGTGTACACTTTTAATCCCAGCACCCAGGAGGCAGAGGCAGGCGGATCTCTATGAGTTTTGAGGCCAGCCTGGTCTACTGAGTTCAAGGGAAAGCCAGAAGTACATAGAGAGACCCTGTCTTAAGAAAACAAAATAAAACAAACAAACAAACAAACAAACAAACAAACAGATGGAGAGGGATTGAAATTACATCTGATTTTTACACACACACACACACACACACACACACACACACACACACACACGTTGGTCTGGAGTCCAGGTCCTGTTCTTTCCTTTCAGAGTGTCCAGGTACTGAAGCATACTGGTGCTGGACCTGAAGGAATGAAGTTTAGCCAGGCGGTTGGGTCTGCAGGATCCCAGTCCAGGGCTGAATGCCCAGAGGGAGAAAGCCCCACGACAGTTTTCTTCACCAGAAGAGATAGCAAGATAGTCTGACATGTCTCTGAAGTATGCAGCTGGCGCATTGAGTCTCCATTCCTCTCATCTGCCCACAGCAAACCTCAAAGGGCTCTCCTTTGGGAGTCCCGGGAGAGAGGAGTTACTCTCAGCACAGGTCATTTCTAAATTGGGGGTTTTTATTCTGATTATTATTGATCCTGGCACACCTATAGACAGAAGATGAAATTGGGATTTTTTTTTTTTAGTAGATGTTACTGTGAGTTGGCTCCCTCCCTTCTCCCTCATCCAAGCTTTCACCTGGAGGCATACAGTTCAGAAATGCATCTGGGCTGCCAGTGACCTCTGTTTCAGACAACATTGTCATCAGCTTAAATGCAGGCTTTAAGATTTATGTGTGTGTGTGTGTGTGTGTGTGTGTGTGTGTATAAGGGCATATGTGCCACAATGTTCTTGTAGAAGTCAGAGCACTGTCCACTTCAGGGATTCTATGGATGGAACTCAGCTCCTCAGGGTTGGCACTAGGCCTTCGCTGCTGAGCCATCCATCTGTACCACCCCCTGCTTTTCTCTTTTTTTTCTTTTTCTTTTTGCTAGTGCCTCATTTTGTAGTTCCCGTTGGTCTGGGACTTGCTTTATAGACCAGGCTTGCCTCGAACTCATAGAGTTCCACCTGCCTCTACTTCCGAAAGTGTTGGGATCACAGGTGTGTGCTAGCATGTCCCGCTCCTCCTGGCATGACTCAGCCCTTGCATTCTTGAACTCTCAGCCACTGTAATTACTTATACAAGATCTGTGCAAGATTCAGTCCATTACTGTTTATCCTATTGGAGACGGATGTATAGGCAGTTAACAGTTGGTTGGGGGAAGGGCTCAGGTATCCCTGCCTCATCCCAAGAAAATATAGGCAGTTAACAGCTGGTGGGGGAGGGGTTCCCAAAGCCCTGTGCTTTCCTAAGACTAAAAAGAGACTTAATAGTTGCTGGGGGAGGGGCTTCAGAGGTGGCTCTCCAGAATGATCTAAAATGTAGCAACAGTTTCTGGAAAGACTTTTCTTCAATGTAAATTGCTGTTGTTCTTGTAAGGAGTCATAACTGAATCCATCCTTTCACAAAGTTCTACTTGGATAGAGTCATTTCTTTGGTTTGTCTTTGGTACCCAACATGGGGTAAATGGGTATTTGTTCCTCTCAGTAGGAAAAATTCACACAGGTAATTCAGTCGAAACTCTTGTAACTGTCAGGGTATAAGCCTTTAAGCTCAGCACTTAGCAGGCAGAGATAGGAGAAGTTGCAGGACAGCCTGGTCTACATATTGAGTTTCAGGTCAATCAGGTCACAGAGTGAGAGATTATCTTAGAGCAAAATGAAAGAAAACTCTGAGAAGCTGTTAAGTTTTATGTACAAAAGAAAATGGTGAGCAAAGTATTGTATCTAATCTTCCACCTATTTTTATTTTAAAAATTGTATCAGAGCATGTGAGTGTGTACATGTGGATGTTTGTGCAGTGGCAAATGTTTGTAATCCTTGAATTTAGGAGGTATAGGCAAGATAAAAGAGTCCAAAGTCATCCTCAGCTACGAAGTATGTTGGAGGCCAGCCTGGAGTGTGTGAGGATTTGAGCATGGTGTGGAGGTACATGCTTATCCCAGAATTTGGGAGGCAGAGGCAGAAAGACCAGGAATTCAGGGTCTTCCTTAGCTACATATTTGAGTTCTAGGCCATCCTGGAATGTCCAAACTCGTTTCAACTAACCAAGTAAACACTTGACTCTTTTCCTGGAAGGGTGATATTCACCTGTTTCCAGGGGTTGAGTTTAGGTTGTCATCAGACAATTATAAGGTAGAAAACAGCAATAACATCAGGGAATTGATGGAAGTATAAAGCTGTTCCCATGTGAATAGCTTGTGGCAAACCAGTCAGTCAGTTTACCACATAAAAACACTTCTCCCCCCTACAAAGATGTAGCTGATGGGCATTTTGGTCCTCAAGTGGGTTTCCTAGTAAGAGGAGCAGGTGCTGTCTCTGGCTTGGACTCCATTGCCTGCTTTTTGATCACTTCCCCCAGGGCATTGGGGAAGAGGATTCAATCAGTCCTTAATCTACTTGATGTGTGTTGGGGTGTGTTGTTAGGAGGGAGATCCCCTTTTCTGAGGAGTAGGAGAGGGAAGATGGGGGAAGAGGGAGGGAGGGTGGAATCATGAGGAGAGGAGGGAGGAGGCTATGATCGAGATGTAAAGTGAATAAATTATGAAAAAGTATGAAACAACAACAACAGCAAAAAACAAAACAAAACACTTCTCACGATAATAAATTCAGTGAGTCCATTTAGGATATTTTAATGGAAGTTTTGGTTTCCTTGTAAAGTCAGTTTTGTTATGTAAATATGGTTTTGTTTTCATCCCAAGCGTGGCATTTTGGTTGTGCTATCGTTTGTCCACACCTGTCAATTGTCTCATGTGGGGTGTGGCTTTAGCCAGCTGGTAACAGCCTTTAAGCTTTGCCGTGGAGAGGGGCGTGGTCTAGGACTCTGAGGATATAAAAAGAGAGCTCAGAAACAGAAAGTGTGGTGTGGTGTTTCTTGGTGTGTGGCTAATAGCAGTTTGGAGAGACCCGAGAGACGGCTGGTGTGGCAGCATGGAGCAGAGAGATGGAGAGAAACACTTTGGGGTGCAGTGGCTTGAAGAAGACTGCTGTGTCTGCCGTTGGTATGGAGTCCTAAAAGACCCACTGATCCTAAACAGCCCGGAGAAGTGAAGGGGTTGGGGCCCTCTCTCCCCACGAAACTCCTCTCTCCTATGTAGGGTTGGGAGGTTAGAAGGGAGGTTGAGGCCTAATACCCCAAATAAAGTAATTTTAAAAATGAGTGCCACAGAATACGACCTCAAGGATCAGGGATGTATTCAGGAGTGAGGAGGATGGATTGTAAGAGCCAGAGGCGGTGGGTGATTCCAGGGAAACAACAGGACTGATACACTATGACCACTCAGAGAGGCTGGGACAGAACTTATAGGACCTGTTGGGGTTCAAGTTCTAGGACTGTGGGGGAGAAGTGGACCCTGGTGTCCCACTCCTAACTAAGAAGCTATTTGCAACTAGTATCTGCAGGCAAACGGAAACTCAGTTCTTTTCTATGGAAGTGTCATTGAGTATATCAACTAATCTTCTGCCCGGGAGTAGTTGGCCAACATAATTGAACTCCAGGCTTCTTTTTTATGTGGACTTTTTGTTTCATTTTGACTTTTTTTTTTTTTTTTTTTT